GTTTCAGCTAGAATCTGATCTTAGCTGTAAGTCTGTAGCATCGTGTGTCATCTCACAGAAGCCAGTTTTCCCTGAGTTCTATAAGTGTGAACACAATGGATCAGCAGATCTGGAATACAATGTGGATCCAGACTTTGGTGTGTGGTCGAGCTTATGGGGATGTTACCGTGCAGCGTTTGTTTCCACAGTGACATGTCTGTGACTCAGAGATAAAACAGTGGCATGGTCCTTTAAAGCTCTTACTCTGACAGGCTCCACTCAGGGGTTTGCTGTCTCCATCCCATTGCTGACTCTCAGTTTCACAGAGGAAGCTACTGACAGGGAGGGAATTCTGGTAACCACGGTGACAGATGAGATCACAGCGCTGACGGGCATCAGCTGCTGGGCTGCAGACCAGTGCACCATGAGTGATGACGGGGTCGGGGCAAAGAGGACCTGGAAAGGACAAATCAGCAGCTTGAAGTGAAGGAGAAAAACTTCAGATTCTACACAGGTTCAGCTGAATTGATCAGTCTCAATCTGTTGCCACCACACCAAGCGCAACCTTCTAACCCGAGGAGGCAAAGAAGACCTACGATCACATGACGGTGCCTGTCCAGTCCCTCGAGGTGTCCTGGTCCCATCCACTTCCTGCCCATCCTCAGAAACACACCAACAGGTAGTGACATCACACTGCATTGGGGTGAAGAAGCCATCAGCACGACACTGGAGACCCTGCAGCTCACACCAGCTGGGACCTGGACGTACCACACAGTTTACCAGGTTACAGAGTAAAGTGTGACAGTGGACAGATCACTGAGAGCAGTGTCGGTGCATGTGTGTACATGTCAGCTGTCCTGTGGCGCTCGGTGTGGCCGTCCGTATCGTCTCTCCGGTCACAGGGTTCACACAAAAGCCTACAGCGCCCCCTGTCTGCAGCACAGAGAAACGACCATTCTGAAACACAGGAAATAAAAGCAGACACACATTACAACAAGATGACTGTGTGTTTCGAAGCTGTCACCGACACAAAAAGGCATTTCCCAGTATGTATACTTCTCTGTGCTAGTGTTCCTGCAGACCCGTAAAACGCTATCAGTCACAGCCCAGGTACCGGTCCAGTTCAAAGTCTGCATCCAGCCAA